TTTTTCTACGAAATGACCCCTGGACCAATCCATGACCTACCAAGAGATGGTTGCATCCTTTTTTCCAATCCACTATTCTATAACATCAGAATAGTAGGATAAAGGTAATTCTATACCATACATTCTAAGAGATGCATTATCAGTTAATAGCAACTCCTTGACTTGTTACACTGTTACATGTACTGTTTTAAAAATGAAGGTTTCAATCCTTAAAGATCTGTTCAACATTGGATGTAAGCATTTTGATTTGAAAATCTTCAAAACCACTGGAAGCAAAAGAAGCTGGCATGTTTAATTAAAACAATTTCTTGAAGTATAAAATACACTTTTCCCCTTGCAGGTGAAGAACGTGGAAGGTGCTTCACAATAGAGTACATCATGCCAATGAATGTTCAACTTACATCTGAATCAACAGTCAATGTTTTAAGTAGGTTGTTTTTAGGGTGTGAGTTGGGGAGGGTGTTGTCTTGTGTCCATTTGAACATTTGCTTTACACAGACTAGGAAACAGATCTATTTATTTAAATATTTATTTATGTTATTCATAATTTGCCTTCTTCCCTGAGATTCAAGGCATCTGCAATACAGGTAAAAAACAATAAATAGAATTGAATATCCCATAAGTAATGCAATAGGATTTGAATTTCAGAATTTCAAGACATACAGAAATCTGAAAATGGAGTTGAAACAAAGCATAAGCATTAACACGACACGTTAAATGATGTAAAAATTACACAGTAGGATCATACTTACATCAGCAGACAGTAGTATACTCCACAGTTCTCCTTTCTCGAACAGTTCTTTATAGTACAGCTCTAATTACTTGTGTAAAAAAAGTTCTCTTGAATAATTCAGTTTTGCATAGTCTATGGAAATCCAGGAGGCTGATTGCCTTCAGGAACGCCATTCCATAAGGCTGGGGCCACAAAAGAGAATGCATGTGTACAGGCAGTTGTTGATTTAGCCCATTTGCAGGAGACCTTGCTTTGATGAGTGAAGCTGTCATGGCAGAGTATAGAGGAAGAGACAGTCCCAGACATATGAGAAACCAAGATCATGATGGGCTTTGTATGTTGTAGCCAATACCCAGAACTGAACCTGGAAACTGATGGGCAGCCAGTAGAGTGATTGACAAATGGGAGTAATACACATGCTCTGCCTACCTCCTGATAATAACCACCATGCAGTGTACTGCACAAGTTGCAGTCTCCCAAGTTGACTCTGAGGAGAGACCTATGTAGAGTGCATTACAGTAGTCTAGTCTCAATGTTACCATGGCTAGATCAGCCAAGTCAAAGTAGGTGGCCATCTTCCTGGTTAGACGGAGTTGGGGGGAAAGCAATTTTTTGCACCGGCATTACCATCAACAAAGGACTTCATCAATACTTTGGAGAATGGGAAAAGCTTTGTTTTGTTTTGTTTTTGCACTTGTGCTTTCTCCCCTCTATGAGCAGCCTGGGAACTGGTGAGGGTGTGGAAAAGGGAGGCGGAGACTTATTTCCTGTTGCCCTTTGTCATAATAGGTCTTGCTTCCATTTTACAGCTTCTTAGTTTCAAGATGGCCAGACCATCCTGCCATGCAGGATAAGCAAAAGGAGACCTGCCCTTGCTAGTCTTAAGGTTTGAATCTATTTCCTAGTTGAATGTTCTCAGTCTGAAGAGAAACAGGACAAAGATTGCTCCAATGGGTGAAAAAAATAGGATTTAAAAAGAACAGTGCAATTTTTTGTGCAATTTTTAACAATAATAATGAATGCTAGGAGTAGACCTTCAAGCTCAGAAGCATTGTACCTCTTACAGATCAATGATGTGAACAAACACCAAGAGGTATCCACTTTCAGAATGTCACGCTGTAACCAGCTCCCAGACAGCTGGCTGTCCACTGTCAGAGAGCTGGGCTAAAGATATCTTTGCTCTGATCCAGATTGTCAGTTTTCTCCCTTTTGTATTCTTACAGCCAGAATTAGAAAGGACATTTCATGAAGCTTAAAAAAAACATATTTACATTATTGAATTTCACTGCTCCTAAATTTGAAACTGTCTTTTAACATTTTCTAAATATTTAACTTATTATATGTCATGAACAATCTGTTCTAAAAAAATAAACAGCCCCCTCCAAATTTGGTTTTACAAATTTTATTTTGATAAAAATATTTTGAACCAGTTTTCAGTAGGAATATGGGCTATCCATGTGCATGTGTGTGTTTTCTTTTTTTAAAAGATTTCTTCTGTTGCTATAGCAATGCACATCACTATTTCTGGAATGGATGGTTTTATATGTTGTTTTTGCAGGTGAGAGAGGATTAGTAAATAATCTGTAACAATTAAAAGGGCATCATACCATCCCATTCTATTTTATTTGGTGAAGATCAGAGTGCCTCAGCTTTTATTTTCTTCCTATCTTTTAGCATTTCCATATGAGGATTTTTTTTCCAACTAGAGATACAACTAGAAAAATGGCTTGGATCTTATGGAATATGTATTGAAATATACTGGGTTTGAGATGCGTATAAAGATCAGCTCATAGTTTCTTAGTGATTTCAGCTTAACTCTAAGACAACTCTAGCAGGGCTGGAACCCTGCAAAACACCCCACACACCCCACACACACTCCCTGTGATAGGCTATTTACAAAACATTACTACTTGATTGGTTTATTCCAGAGTCCCGGTTGGCTATTGTTTTTGTGCTTCAAGCTCAGCCAGTCTCTAGGGTGATT